GTCATTAGTGAAAAGGGTAGTAACATCTACAGCATAGAGTGTACTTCATAACTTGTCTCCACAAAAAGAAACCTCTTTATCTTTTTTGTCTGCTTCCCTTCCCCCCTCCAATGCTGAGGATGCACTTTTTAATATTACTTTCAAATTTTCTGTTTATGAGCTGTTGTTGTTCCTGAACAACAGGAACAACAACAGCTCATACAGAATTGTTCTCATACAGAATCGTTTGTGTCCTGCTCATTCCCCTGTATGAAGCCATTTCCTAACTCTGCAGGTTAGGTCCTGACCATCTGGGCAGGCTTCAGGTGGCAGCTGATCCCCAGGGAACTGTGACAGATATAGAATGTCCAAGAAATATCTGTCAAGGGAAGGCAAAATGTCCTTAGGACAGAACAACACCCTGCAAGAAACCTAAGAGTAAATAGAATCAACATAGCATAGCGAAGATACCAAATAACAAATTGGGCAGGATGGAAACTTTGAGTTTTATATTCTCAGAGTATAATTCTATCAAATGACAGAATGTCTCAGGCTGAGTGGAAATGCCTTTGCTGCCTGTTATTCTGTGGGAAATCCACCAACCTCTGGTGAACATTTTCTGGCCAGCTCATGTTTACCACTCCTTGCTGCACTACCTGTGAGTCAGGAGTTCACAGTCCACTGTTGGCATTTCACATCATCCAAGTAAATTTAGCAGGCTTTAAGGTGCTTGATCTTATCCAGACCATTCAACAGCTGAACAACATAGAGGTCATTAGCTTCCTTTTCTCAATGCATTAGGTTTCTCTTTACACAGATGTCAACAGATACCAGTGATGTGTTGAAACACGTGCAGGAAGGTATTTCTGCAAGAGATGAGCCTAGCTGCACTGTAGAGGCTGTGCACTTCAGCTAGTCCAGCTAGGAGAAAAAAAGTGCAATGGAATCAGGTATTTTTGTAGATGATTCTAAATAAACAGAATTGTATCAGGCAGGAACCCAGGGCAGTGTCCTTGCTCACATCCCCAACACTCTGGGTGACTCCCCAATGCTTCCTCTAAAAACTGCTTCTGTCACCTCCTGCTGCACTTGTTCAGCTGTGCTCGAGGTTTCTCAATGCATGATTGGAGAGGTGCAAGCCACCCCTTCAGAATTCCGTGCTGAGCTGTCACTCATAAAAACCTTTCTGACCAAAGCATTTCTCTGCAGAGCTTTGCCATTAAAGGTTCAACAGCCTTTGGCCTTCCCCAGTCTGGGATGGGAGGAGGGAGGAGTACATACATCTCTGTCAACAAACATCTGTCAAACTTGTTGGTCCCCAGGGGAGCACTGTGTCGCTTTAGCTCCTTCATGTTTTTTTTTTACATTTATGTCAATTTTGGATTTTCTGGGTTTTCTTTTATTCCTTTAACTACCTAACTATTTGGTCATAAAGGGAAGTGATACTACTGTCCTCCCACTGGTTTTGTGGAAGGTATAGAAGTTTCTTCTGAATTTATCTGGAAGATTGAACAATTCTAGCCACAAATACTTTAACCTAATTGCTTTGCACACACCTGACTTTATTAAATTCAATAAAAACTTTCCAGATTATCAATTGATAAAAAATAATTAATTTTACCCATTTCTCATCATTGTTATGGAGATACTACTCTGGAAATATGAAAAGTATGTGTATCTGTCAAAGTTATGGCTTTATTAGAAAGGTTGAGTATTATCTGTTAAAACACGAGATTTGTGAAGTGGACACTCATTAGAAACTTAGGAGCATAAAGGTTAAATAAACTGGGGCACACTATGTATTTCCCTTTCCCCCGTGCTCTCTCCTGACTGGTAGAGGAGATGGATGTTATTTCCCAGACAGGTGTATCTTGTAGATTAATCCCTTTAGAAATATTTTAGAATAGAATTGTGGCTTACAGTGTCTTAAATAGCTATTTTTCATAAATATGCAAAAGCCTGCTTCCATCTTTGCTAAAGATGTTTTCTAGTGTCTGTTATAGTGTTGCTAAAAGCTATTTTCCTTTAAATGGCCTTAAATGAGGCAGTTTGTATAATGACCAGAGAGCAAGAAAACCAAAACAATGTGCCATTAATACATACCCCAGACACCTTCATATCGTCTAAAGATATTGTAAGGATCTAGTTTGATATGACATCTTTTAATTAGAAGCTTAACATTGATCTGTATTCATGCCACAATTAACTTGAGCTGTTGCTAATGAATTCTCTAAACAGATTTTTGTGCAAGTGGTTTCTACCCAATGACTAGGAGCAGGGGAGTGCTGTGGAACTAGACAAGCAATTGCAATAATAATGTCTGGGACTAATTGCCTCTTAGGGCTTGACTTTGTCAATTGCTTTGTTTTCATCAGCTTCATTGGTTTTGGTTTCTTTTACCAGAATCAGAGCCAGAAAATATGTAAGCAATCGAGTAGGTTTGCTTTTGAAAAGCATCATCTATTGGTCATCTTCAGCCTGTGCTGAGGCAGTGGTATCTTTGGGCTGCTGTAGAGAGAGTCCAGTTCCTGCTGTAGTTGAACTTTATGATTTGAGTGAATTGTTTCTGCCAAGACATTCCACAATATTAATTAATTTTTAGCTACATCAAAGTTTGGGGGCAGGATGTACTACTTTTCAATGCTGCATTTAGCTGTATTATGTCTTCTCTGCCAATTTTTGTACATAGCAGCCACAAATCAGACCTTCCTAAGTAAAGAGATTAAAAACAATGACTTTTTTCTCCTTGCCCTCTGTTTTATGAGGTGTCACATGACATTCATAACAGTTTTTAGCTTATAATCACAAATTTACACTATTAAAGAATATAGAAGCTGAGAATCTTACTTGATTTTATCATTGCAGGACTGGGAGCTTTGAGAAACACTAAATGTCAGGAAATTTGGCTAAAATCATGCTAGTTGCTAGGGCTGTGATGGGACAGTAGAGCCTTCCCTTGGTTCTACATGGAGGCCTGCAGGAAAGCCTTGCACACCTCTCCCAGTGATACCAAGGGGTCAAAGTCTCTCAAGTGATTGAGGCCTCCTGACCCAAGAACACAAGCCCAGAAGTGACAAACAAGTAAATGTCACTAAGGAAACACCCTGTGAGCGTGGTTCCCTTGGAAAGGCTGGGTGGGATCCCAGCCATGGCTTACTCTCATCTCTCTGTTAGCTAGCTGTCCATGGATGGGGAGTTGAGCAAGCCACCTACTTCTCAGCTGTACACAACCCCTGCTGAAAATGGATTACTTAGCCCATGTGCAGCTGCACTGTAGAGACAGCTGGTGCCATGAGGACTCTTGCTCTAGGTGTAGGAAAGGTCATGGTCTGGCCTTTTGTCCAAACAGAAGTGCAGTGTTTATCTGCCCTTCAAGAATACAGAAGAAAGTAGTATCTGAATGTCCTCTCTGGTAGTGAGCATAGAGATTTACTTGTTCTTCATGGAGAAATGTGCAATGTTAGGAAAACAGTGTTTACAAGGCAGAGCTCCTGGTGGCATTCAGAGTTCTCACCTACTTGTTGGAGTGGCGGCAGTCTGATTTATGGGGCCACAAGAATAAAACCTAAAATTAGTAATAGTAGTTTGTGGTTGCACATTCTGACCCACTCAAGATTTCATAGCTGCCTACAATAAAGAATTAAAACCAAAGGTATGTTGTTAACGTTGTATAATTCTTATGCAGTGGCCAAATAGGTGACTGATTGATTAATTGATTAGAGAAAATGTCAAGAGTGAAAGTACTCCTGCATTCCACAGAAATAAAGTAGAATGTTGTTGTCTTTTTAATTTCTGTGTTTGCATCACACTTGAAATTGATATTTCCTAATACGATTTAAATAGGCTGCAAATATTCTTATCTGATTTTAAAAACCTGATTATTTTATCCCAAGAAAGAGCTGTGCATCATTTGAATGACACACGTTTCAGGAGCTGCCTGGATTCTGCTGGAAAGTCATTACACTAAGGATGAGGAATGGCCTACATTAGAAACTCATGCACTCTCTCTACTCTAGCATTATAAGTATATGCAAGAACTCTGCCACGGGCTTTGATGCTGAACTTCAGTCTAGATCCAGTTCTTGAGGATCCTGACAGTTTTATGTTAATAGTTACTCAGCCTGACACGTTGCTGAGCCTCTTTTCTGTAGTCTAATGCTGTGCAGGGTGCTCCTACCCTGGGGGAAATGTGAAGACAGTTGCCTAAAGAGCATGTGTGTGATAAAGCCATTTCCTTTATTGCCATTGCAGTCTCACTTCCTTAATTTAGATGCATACAAGTGGAAATTGACAGTATTGTGTGCAGACCTCAAATGTACTCTCTTCAATCAACCAAGCTAAGACTTAACAACACGTACTAAAAAACACAGCCCCAACAACCACATATCTGTCAGGTAAGGTATTTTGGTTATGATGTCCTCTTTGGTTCTATGAGGCATGTGGAGCCCACAGGCTGTGTTCTGGAATTAGGAGAAGTTGAGAAATGAGCATTTCGAGTCAGTTGTGTTGACTATTCAGAAAGTTTGATTCCCCACCCCCAATGACACTTCAGCTGTGCATCATATCAGCTCTCTCACTTATCACAAGGTATGTGCTGTTCCTGTGACTCTCCATCGACACTCAGCTTGCCAACAAGCAGCTACTGCACGGTGCTTGTGGAAGTGGTTGCCTAGAGGGGAAGATGTCAAAGAGAAGAGGCACAAACTGCATTTGACATGCAAAAAGGGCTTGAAAGGAAGAGGCTGATCATTGTCTTCTGCTTCTGTGCTGTCAGATGTGCCTGCTTAGATGTTAGTTGTTTTGGTTTTTTCTGAGCTACTGGATGGGTAGAGTGATGAAGGCTTTAATATTACCAAGAAACTGGGAAGATCTGGGCCTCTGCTGAGATTGGCAGGAGGAATTATATTAGGTATGTGTCTGGAAGATATTTTTGTGGTGAACTGTCTGTTCTTCATATTGGATCCAGTAGGAATTCTTGGAGAAGACAGTTGAATCTGTGAAGATTAAAGAAAGTCAAAGGGAAAAGGGGAGAATTGGGCAAAATAATGGGAGATGTATCAGTCTGAATGAAGCTGCTTTTTCTCCAAAAATTAGGTATCTTCACGTAAAATGAGGAATTCCATACCAAATGTGTTACAGGTAACTGTTTATTTTTGATATTTTATCTGACATGGATTGTTTTTAAAGGGTCTGGAAAAGCTTTCTATTCTCTAAATTTTGCTCAAAAATAGGTATAGCCAATGACATTTGTGTAACAGTTTGTTTCCCTTGAAAAAAATAGGAAAATAGGTGTTTCTCCTTGTGGATTTGATTTGTTCACAGTGGGTGCAAGCCAATGTCCCTTGAGGCTGGTTATTTTGCTAAAGGGCAAATACTCATTTATGGCTTTCATCAAATTAAGATACTGGAAAAACCTGGAATGCTACAATCAGATGAAGGATGCTGGTTGTCTCCATATCCATGCCTAATTTAAAGACTCAGGCAATTGCTAAGCTGGTGACAACCGGCATTTCAGCAATGCAGATTCCAGTTATCACTAGAATAATTAATGTCTAAGTGTGACATCAGAGAGGTGCTTTGTGTTTGTTACCAGGTGACACTGGGCTGCTCTGGTGGTAAACTTTTCTCCTGTAACAGCAATCCCCAGCATATGGCACAAAAGTAGCCAGAGATGGACAGTGGGTTCCTGGGTCTTGAGATCCCTGAGGAAACAATTGAGAAGAGGCTGAAAGCAAGTTTAGCTGCTGGGTAACCCCTTTTAGCAGCCATTTGACTGCTTTTGAGGGATGAGTCAGATAGGACTGATAGATGTAATCTTTCAGCTCCCCACAGATCTCCATCTATATTTGCCTTTTTTGGTGGCAGTTCAGGTAAAGGAAATCCCTTTGTGTATGTAAGAGTTTCGACATCTGAGTGAGGGGCCTTGCAAATGCTCTGTTTCCAAAGGACTGCTTTGTATACTCCAGCCTTCTGCAGATCAGCTAAAATCTATCAGTCTATTTTGCCTACATATTGCTGCCTTTCTTCATGCCTGGGAGGGAGTTTTTACTAGATAAGAACCCAAGTCACAGACTCAAAGACTTGCAGCTGAATTTTGTCATTGACTCATCACGTGCCTATTGATAATCCATCTGCAAATAAGTGTCTGTAATTTGGGGTGTCTCATCTAAAGACCTCATTTTTCAGTGCTAAAAATGAGACTAATGCAGATAACACAAGGATATCGAGATTAAATACTCACTGTATCTAGAGCTGTTTGTAGGTGTAGTGTGCTTTTTAATGGCTAATAAGCATTATTTAACAATACATTCAGCCCTAAGAATTCCACTCTCCCAAATCAAGCTTTTATTCTATTCTAACTTCTACACAGAGGTTTGTTTTCCAGTTATGACTGTGTAACTTGCCATATGCTCTCATCTGACCCACTTATTTACTCTTGACAGTGAATTGAATTTAGTCTCATCTGTCTCAGTAGCTCAGATGTTCCTAGACTTTATCCTGACAACCATTGCACACAGTTAATGTAGTAAATCCCCACTTTACCAGAGCAGTAGTCCCATATCAAGCAGTTGAGGGCTGAGAGCCCTACTCAATAAGCAGGGGTGGAAGTTTAAAAACCAGTCTGTGCCATACTCAGCAGGAAGCTTTCTCAACTGTTGGAAAAGGGACTTGATTGATTGACTGACTGCTCAGGCAATGGGTCACTCTTTGCAGATATCACAGAGATGCAGAGAGCCTTTCTTCAAAGAAAGAACCTTCTTGTCAGTTCAGATTTCCCCATAATGGCTTGTGCTTCATCTCTGCATATATCAAGACACAGTGAACTAGGATAACACAGGATTTTCCTTATTCTTGGTTTCACTGGCTGGAGATAAGTTCCTTATTCATTTACTTAGAACAAGTGACAGAGCAGTCTGTGGAAAGTAGCACAAAAATGCTGATCATTTTCTGTAATTTTCCTGTGCTGTTTATCAGTGTTTCATAGAAGTGATTTCCTTTGTGAGACAATTTCATACCTTGCTAATTTCTAATGTGTATCTTGCTGCATCTTCAAAGGTACAATTTTAGCAGAGCTTTCTACAAAATCCTTCTCATTTCCCAAATTTTAAAATATTCAGTATACTTTGGTGTGAATGTCATTAGGCTTTTGAATCTATCAATCTGCTGTGTTGCCTCTTAATTTTCTAGAAATACTCAGTTCCCTATACCAATACATGATTGATGATACTTCTGCAGCCTGGCAGAATCCAATTACTTGGTTTAGCAAAACTTCACTTTTTGAGAGGTGTCACACTGAAAGCACATACTGTCAGAAGGAATTTGGGCACTTCCCCATTTCTTTCTCCTTGCACATACTTAAGTGTTTCAGCATTCTTTGAGCTGTGCTGAAACCCTGTCTCTGTAAGAAAAATTCCTACTCCAACTTTCCCCACCCAAAGGTGATGCAGAACACGTTGCCATTATTCCTTTCCTTCTCCTGCCAGGTTTATTTTTCAGTTCAGCCTGAATGTTGTCTGATGTTTCTGCCATTGCACAGGTGCTTTGGAGTAAACAAGATTTGTTCATATTTCTCCAGGATAAATTACCTGTAAAAAAAAATAAATAATTGTTTGAAAAAGTTAATTGCACTTAGTCTAAAACACACCAGTTGTCTCATTTCAGAGCTGGAGATGTGTCTGAGCCCCTTGCTCTGCTCACATGTCAAAAGCTACTCCTAGTGAGCACCTCTGGAAAAGCATATCTGTATGCTCAGATCTGATACTAGTCAAATTTCTTAGTAGCTCTGAATGATGGTGACTGAAAAGCTAGAACCTCATGAACCTAAATGTCCTTGTATCATGGATAGTGCTGCCAGATGTACCCTTAAATCCAATAACAGAATTTCTTTGTTCACAGATGAAAACACACCTGCGTAAATCCTCTCACACCTTCCTGCCTACCTGCCCATCTTGACCTTCTAAGTAGGAGGAATCAGGAGAGACACTGTGTTGGATTTACAGTAAATCTTGGCTGTGCATGCATGATGCAATTACATGTCAGGCCAGACTGTAGCTGTATCATGTCACCCTGATTAAAAACGGACTGCCGTATCAATGAGCTACTGCCTATCATGATGTCAGTCTGCACAATGCCATTGATTTGGCAGACTTTTAACCTAAAGAATTATAACCTCTTTCTGCTTGATCACTTTATTAAATCCAGATTGATCTTTCATCCAAAATGCCAAGGAGTCTGCCAGCAGCTTAGCAATTTAAGAGAATAATGACCTGCTGTAAAACAAACAGCAGTGAATTAAAAGTACAGGTCATGTCTGCTTTTGCCAACAAGATAGTTTTTTCACCTGTTCTTAGTGCTCTTCTTTAAAAAAAGACACTAAACACAGTCTGTTAATTAAATTTGAACTCAGGTTCCTTTTCAGTGCTCAGAATTTTGTCTCATGAATAGGGAGAGCTTATATTAAGTCTGCTGTAGCAATTCTGGCCCTTAGATTTTTACTGCGTTCTTTGAAGATTTCTGCCCCTGCTGCTAGGATTGCTTGACTAATCATATAGAGCAGTTGCAGATCTGCTTAAATCATAGCTGGAAAGACCACATCATTGCTAGGAATGACCAGAACTGATACCAGTTTACATTAATATGCCACAGATGTACAGCATCATCTTCCCTAGAAGCTGACCCAGTCCTGTAAGGAGGGAGACAGATATTTAAATGGGCAGATTGTCAGAAGAGAAAATTATTTTAAGCTTTTTTAAGCTCATCTACTAATGAGTCAGAGCTTTAATTCCCAATGAATTAAACGGATAATCTGAGAGAGTTGTATACTTAAGCAGTTGATGGCTAAATTCTTAAAAATACTCAAGTTATTTTGATGATAGAACTGAAGCCCCTGAATCACTCAGACTTAGCAGTGTTGGACCCAAAACGCTCTTCTTGCATTAAAAATTTGATAAAACTCAGACAGTATCTGTAAAAAATATTCAGTTGTAAAAAATATTCAGTCAGAAAAAGTGCATTCTCCAAGTGAATGTACTGTTTCCACTTCACATTTATAGTCAAAAGGATTTTAAAGGTTAAACACTTTACATTTTTGGACAAACATGGAAGTGAAACTTTTAGCAAAATTTTACAGCACTTTTATCTTCCTTTTGTGTTGACACAGGCCACAGGTCAGATTTTATCTGCATAAAAGATAAGAAAGATCCCTATTACAGTACCAGAGAAAATGGGTAAAAGTATAATTTTAGAGGCAAAAATCTTGCTTAGTTTAGTGGAATCAGACTTTTCCTAGTGTGTTTAAGAATATTAGTTCTTTGCAAAATAATTCTTGCCCTTAGAATAAAATGCCAGAAAATCTCCCACATACATGAGGAAAAAGAGTCACTGTACTAGCATAAGCCTGTAAGCATCACTGGAGGCATTATTGCTTGAACAATGTATGTTTATTAGCTTGCATTATTCAACATCTGAAGATACACTGCTTGTTTCTCATGTGTAATAATAGCAATGCCAAAACTAATATATGTTAGATCCTATGGGGGAAAGCCTTGGAGCTCCTTGCATGCAAGCTGCAGCTTCTTGCTTGTTCTCCAAGAGGGCACATTAAAAGGCCTTTTTGGCTTGTTTTTGAGGTGCTGGGCCTTTCCTGTGTTATCATCTCAGACCTTCCAGGTGGTGGCACTGTCAGCATAACCCTTGGCTCCCAGGTCTTCTCCCCATTCCTCACTCCTGTTGCCTCTCTTGTGGTGCAGAGGACAAAAGCTGAGACTCTTAACTCACAGCTTCTTGGTCAGTGCCTTCATACCAGTTCAGAACGATCACGGAATGGTTTGGGTTGGAAGGGATCTTAAAAATCATCTGGTTCCACCCAACCCTCCTGCCATGAGCAGGGACATCTTGTATTTAGAGCACATTTCTCAGACCCTCATCCAGCCTGGTCTCTTCCAGGGATAGGGAGTCCATGGCTTCTCTGGGCAGCCTATTCCAGTGTCTCAGCACCCTCATAAAGAATTTCTTCCTAGTATCTTATCTAAAGTTGCCATCTCTAAGTCTAAGGAGGAATTAGGAAGATGTTGTTTTCTAGGGATGTAATGGTCAATAGCTGTTTTGGCTGTAGTGCTGGCCCACTTTAGCTCGTGTGC